GGTGAGTGCCGTAGAGAAGGTTGGTCCCTGCAAGTGGACAGCCTGTTGGTTGGACTCGTTAGTAAGAGCGAGAACGCGAGTCGGCTTGTATAGTGCTGCTCACCCGACTTAGTGTACAGTTGTTTGGTTTAGTTGTTAGGAATACGTTTCACCCGACCGCCGGCCAATGGCCTGGCAGCGACTTGTTCGCCCAAGACGAGAAAAAACGTATATCCTCTGTTTGGGAGGATATGGTGGGCGTCCGGCTCATCTGTAGAAACCTGAACAGTTCTCGGCTAGTTTCCTGGCACTTGGAGTGTGAGGGACTCTTTTCGCTTTAAAGCCGTAGGTCCTGTAGGTTTTCCCTGTTTTCGGACGTTCTGAGGAGCTTTGGTAGTACCAGGGTGCTTTTGGCCCATGGGAAGTTGTTTAGAGAGCTCCGAGCCACCTTTAGGTAGTTTGCACCTCGGTTTGCTGGAAGACTTTGTGCCGACTTGGCTCAAGACCGGAACTGCGTGTGGAGTGCAGCAAAACGAAGGTCTCTGTCCGAGTGTTGTGCTTGGTAAGGGGTTTTGCTGGGGCTTGTTGCAGTTTCGTTCTTTTTCGTGAAGGCTGGCGCATACGAAAAGTGGTCCATGTCCTTCATAAAATTGGCCTTGCCTTTGTGGTGCGCTTTTCGCGTCCATACTCCTTTTTCACGGGCAGTCTTTTCGCTCTTGGATTGACTCTCTCCCTAATGCTGCTGATTTTTTGGCTCAACATGCCTCAGATCACGGTCGGCCGCTGGGAGGGAGCGGGAAAGGGACGCTGGCGATTGAGGATCTTGCCGGCACCTCAGCCTCTTGCACGCATTGTAGCTTGATTCTGTCGGCACGTCGTTGACAGTTCGTTGGGCAACAAGCAGGGCCTAGCTCCTGGCATCTCAGTTTAATGGCGCCTCGGCACACTGCCAAACCTGGCGCACCGATAGGTGGGCGAATCCGCTGCAAGCAGGGTAAACCCCCAAAAAGGGAAGGCACAGGTGGGCAAAGCAATGCCCCGGGCGCTTCATCGCGTCTGGCGCCCCCCTTCCGTCCAGGCGGTCTCCCCAGCGGCGAGCAGAAGCCAATGATCTTTCCATCGCAAATGCCTTGCTGACGCTAGCGAGGCCTTCCAGACCTGTCCAGCTTATCCTGCGGGCGCCTGGTGGCTCAGGTGGGCAGGCCACATCTTTTGCAGTCCGAAGCCAGGATGTTGGCCAGGCGGTCGGCGCCCTCACGGCGCGCCGGTGGCCCCGCTGATGCCCGTCAGGGGACAGCTATCAGGAGTGAGCCCCTGAGGCAGCCCCCGTCGGACATGATCTTGGAGCTCCAAGGATCGTGGTGTATCCGGCTGCAGCCGGGAGCGTCCTTGCACATTCAGTCAAGAGCCACTTGCACCTCCAGGTACGTCACCTGTAGGCAGCTGCTTAGCCAAGTCGGATACTCAGCAGCCCCATGCGGGGGATCGGTCGACGGTGGCTGGCCCTCCGATGCTACTCCAGTGAGGGAGCGGGCCGCCACTGGTTAGGGGCCCAAGTGCGCCTTGAAGAGCACCCACACTATCCCGGGCCGCGGCTGACATACGTCATCTGCTTATCTTTGATTCTGTTAAGGTGTCTTCTTATGTGTTGCGAGGTCGCTGTCGGCCGGCCTCGGCGTTGATGGCCTCTTGGCACCAGGAGGTGTCGCCACCGCCCGGCCTGCCCCTGGCGAGTGGAGCTATCATCGTGGCTGCCCGAGCTGTCCAGGTGATTTATCTTGGACTCCCTGCCTGATTGTTGCTGCCTGAGCCTACGTCTAGCACTACATCAGCCTGTCTTCCTCTGCGCTTCTGTCTTCCGGCGAGGTGACCAATCCCCGCGGCTCGCCGGAGGCGCTGACGGTGGCCACCTTGGTGAGGTGCTGCCGTTGCGTGGACCGCCCTCTACAGTAGTGCTGTCAGGTGGTGGCTGCTGAGCTGGTCGCTCGCCCCTAGGTGCCTCGCCTAGCTGTTGATGATTGGCCTTGCTCGTTGCTCTGCGACCGTCCTGTCACTTGCATTTTCGCTGCCTTCAGGCTAGGAGTCAGGAGGGTAGCTTGCGACATACGTCGCTCGCAAATTCTTCGCTGCATGGCGGCACCTATTGCGTCATCGGCTGGGCGCACAGGAAGGCGGGCCCTCGCTATCAATCTTGCGGAGCTCCCGTCTGAGCCGGATTCATACGGCTTACCCCGGTGCTGGTCCGGTGGCCGCCACACGGCCCCCCGGCGCCTGTACCAGTCAATAAGCCGCCCGGAGAGCGCATCCATAGGGAGGCAACTGACATGTACCACCGTATGGTCTCCCAAGAAGTCTCCTGTGCAGTCGCGGATACCCTTGCAAGACGCGGCATTTTCATGAACCTAGCGGTCACCCGTGTCGAACCCGATGCAGTTGCCCAGGGGTGGATGGCAATCCATGTCCGCCCGCTTGCGCCGCGGGAAGGCGAGCACCCCTGGACTGTCTACGTGAGTCAGGACTTAGCCGACGAAGGCTCGGCTGCCGAGGAGGCCAGCGATGGTGCCGGGCCTGGGGCAGCTTCTGAGGGCTCGAGGCGCTCGGTCCGCTTGCGAAGCGGTCGACGTCGGGCCCGACTCCCTGGAAGGGAGCACTCGGCGGCCAGTGACGTTGAGGTTTCGTTGGCGGCTGATGGCCCTGCGGATGCCACCACGGAAATGGGCACAGGCTCCGACACTCAGCCCGCTCTCCCCGCACCCAAGCCGAAGACCAGGCGGAAGAGTGCGACCGGCCTAGTGCGGCTGGACCAGGGCACGGAGGCCACTTTACTGGCGTCACTAGGTTTTTCGGCCGTGGCAGTGCGTGGCCCGGGTGGCTCGCTCGCCTAGCGTGCCTGTGTTCATTTTGAGGCATCGATCGTCTGCGTGATGCAAACAGGTGCCCACCTTTTGTAGGAGCTGCGGATCGGTCTTGTGACTTCTCCGGCATGCTATAGCAGTAGTTGTTGTCCGGTGTGTTGGCCGCCTGCAGCCCCGTGCCTCGAACCGATCCTGAATGGCTTAGGGGGCGGCGACATACGTCGTCAGCCGGTTGTAATGGCCTGCACCAATGGCGTGCCCGCAGGCGGCGGCTTCGGGGAGCGGGACATCAGACTGGCTGCTCGCACGAGCTGCTGTCCCCGGGAAAGTCGCAAAGCACATAGGGAACACATCCCGTATGTGTGCTGTACTCCAGGGTGTCATCGCTCCTTTCACAAGGGCCGGCACCGGCATTGCTGCTCTCTCTGCAGTGTAGGTCAACACACGGACAGGTGCGAGCGGCACTACGCGCGGCTGTTGAACCGGACGCGGCGATCGGCTTTGTCTACATGCTGTATCCCGAGCTGCCCAAGAGTCGCTGGCTTCGAGCACACGCGATGTTGTGCTCTCTGCGGAAGCACGAATGGGGAGGTGCATACCCCACAATGCGAGCAGCGCCAGCGCCGCTTGGCCGGTCCGCGCGCAAACAACCCAGCGCCCATCGGCGAAGAGGGGAGCGGAACCGTTCCTCGTATGGCGCGAGGCCCGGGCCTTGCGGTGGTTTGGGAGCCGCCTTATGTAGCCCACGAGGCTTCAATCACGAGCCTGTATGTAGCCGAGGCTGAGCCCCCGGCCGCGGTGTGCACAGTGCGCCTTGGATGGGGCGCCTCACCAACGGCTTCTTCGACAGAGGCTTGTGGAGCTGCTGACCTCGACCGTGGACCGTCGCTGCAGACCTTCTACCCGGCGGGGCCCGCTTCTGCCCTGACCCGTCAAGCCACGGCCTCCGTCAGATCGATTGACTTAGGGGAAATGGATTGACGCCCCGGAGCCTCGGCGCCGGCGTAACGGAGACAAATAAGCTGCGCAGTCTACACTAGTCTCCTCGCTGAACACCTTCGGAGTGCGCCGAGGTCCCTTTATGCCGCGTCCGTCGCACGACGGGCCTCAGGTTTATCCCTTTCTGCTGCAGCTTGGGAGGGCTTGCGGTGGTTGGTTTTCGGCCTTGGTTTCGCCCATGAGCTGAGACTGCCCCTTGCCCCAAGCCTGGAGGTCGGAGGCTGCAGGGTGCTGATCGCGAGACGGACTGCCGCCGCCAAAAAGGGGTGCGGCCGCTTGTGCATCGACACTTTGTTCATTGTGCTATGCGAAAGTGCCTGTGTCGTGTGGGCTGCCAGCACGTCGACATACGTCGATGTACATTTTGTGACCCCCGAGAGTGTCCCTTCTCTGCTCGGCCCCATGGCTAGTGCGTGGAATGAGATGCCTGCCAACGTCAATATCCCAGGCTTTGACATGTTTCAGATTACCTCATCTATTGACATCGACCCGCTCTTTGTCACTTTCGCGCTGACTCTGGCATCCCAGCGGGGGGCGAACTGCGTCTTCGAGGGACGCATTCGACGGGCGTGGGTGAACAAACTCTCCCGAAGGGGGATGTTTTCTTATTTGATTGTTTTCATGTCGGAAAAAATTGTTTACAATTTTTCGGCGCACTTTTTCTGTCATGCCTTGCTGGAGTATTTCGCATGACTTGCTGTTTTCTCACGAGTGCTTTACCACGCTTGTCTTGGTAATCGCAGTTTTGCTTGCAGGCGTCTGGACAAGCTTCAGTATGATCCCAAAATCATGATGCATTTGGCCCCGCTTCCTGGGGCTAAGTGGAAGGGCGATGGAAAAGGCGACAAGGGCATCAAGCGTGATGCTGATGGCAAGCCAAAGGTGCCCCATCGCCCCAACAAAGGCGCTGGCAAAGGGAAGTGTCCTGATGCGTTAACCGATTCACGCTTGAAGCACAACTGCAGTAAGACCAAGAAGCGCTTGTGTTGGAATTTTAATTTGCAAGCTGGGTGTAAGTTTGCCAAGGCCGGTGAGAGCTGCAAGCGGGGCTTGCACATTTGTATGTTCTGCGAGCAGCCACACTCCCTTCTCCAATGCCCGGCTTACAAAGTCAACGAGTGACAGGAGGCTGAGGCTCCCGAGGCCGATTCTCTCGTTGATGAGGCGATGAGCCTTTCGGTCTCGTCCCATGCGGCGAGCCCTGTCTGCACACCGGCATTGATTGACCCGGCTGGCCCATTGGAACGTCCCAAGCCAGCCACTTCAGTGCCTAATCAAGTTCCAAATGTTGTGATTGATGAGCGAGTTTTTCCCTTGCCCGCTGAGCGGCGAGTGCATGCCTCTCTGCATCCAGCAGAGCAATTTGCGCAGGACGTTCTGTCGTCTGGTGAACCTGTGACAGCAACTTGTGTTGAGCGCCTTTTTAATTTGTTACCTTCTAAGACGGATGAGCGATTCAGTTCTGACTCTGGCAGATCCTTTGTTGCGGGTGTCTTCCGACATGGGGGCGTCGTTGGCCTCACGAACACCTGCCGTTCTTTTCCCCAATCGGTTAGTTTGGCCATCACCTGGGCCATGCAGCAGGCCGGGCCGCAAGAGCTATCCGACTTCACGTTTTGCTCGATTTCTCTGAACCTCAATGTTAAGACTGAGGTTCACCGCGATGTAAATAACGACGATGCTGACAATCTCGTGCTGGCTGTGACCACTTTCTCAGGTGGGCACATCTGGGTGCAGTCCGAGTCGGGCGGCCATGTGCTGCCTGTCAATGGGTCCTTGGTCCCTGGAGACTTGTATGATGTATCCGCGGCCCCAGTGCGGTTCTATGCTCGCAAGCGCCTGCATTGCACAATGCCGTGGACGGGCGATAGGCTAGTCCTCATCTTGTTTTCAGGCGGAGATGTTGCCCAATTACCCAGCCTTGACTTTGAGCACCTTAAATCCCTTGGGTTTAGGCCTTCGGTCTCAACATCCACAGCCAACCCACCGTTGGCGTATGTACCACCGCCTGCCGGAGCTTTGGAGCCCTTGCTTGCTAAGGTCGCTGCAAAGGTCAAAGGGTTGCCTCTTGATAGTCTTATGTTTCTCGATGTTTTCTGTGGAACGGGGGGACTCTGCGCATCCCTTCGGCAGCTAAGCATGAAACTAAGTGTCGGTTTCGACCGTCACGCACAGCGGGGTTGCAAATGTCCTGTTATCTCGCTGGACCTCACGAAGGCGGGATCCCGGGCCATTCTGCTTGATCTTCTCAAGCAGCCTCACGTGGTCGCGTGCCACCTGTCTCCACCTGTAACCACCAGTGGGGCCGGTCTCCTAGGCCCTCGCTCAGGTGTCCTTCGCAATGCAACGCACCCTGAAGGTCTGCCAGGCTTGCAGGGTACTGATCTTGAGCTGGTCCAAGGGGCTAACGCACTCTTTGCCATGTGCGCCGAGGTCTGGCACTTGTGTTGGAACCATGGGGTATTTTGCTCCATAGCTCACCCAAGCCGATCTATCATGTGGCTCACTGCGGCACTCCGCTCATGCCAATCTTCTCCTTTCCTCTCTACCTCCTTGCATCAGTGCATGTTTGGATCCTACAGGAGAAAGGCTACTCGCCTTTTGCATACGGTCCCGTACTTGCAAAAGCTTGGTGTGACATGTGATGGCGCCCACGCTCATGAGCCGTGGCGTTCTCCTGCACAAAACCAAACGAAGGACGCCGGCTTTCCGCCTATGCTGTGCAAGGCCTTTGCCCAAGCACTTGTGGATCAACTGATTGCATGCGGTGCGCGCGCCCCGGCGAGGTCCCTCGAGAATGCTTCACTGTCGCTCTCATTGGGCGCCCGTGTAGCTACAGCAACGCAACCTTCAGGTCGGAAGATTCCTCCACTGGTTTCTGAGTTCGCTCGCACAGTCAAAGTGTCAGGCCCAGCCGATCAGCTACCGTGCACCTCAAAGACCAAGCTGGTGTCGACGTGGGCGGTTCCCAAGACTGTGCTCTGCCAACCTTTCCTTCAGTCATTGCCGCCCGGTTCCAAGTGCATCCGAGCCAGCCCTTTTGTTCCAAGGGGTTTGGCGCCTGCCTCGGATGTGCCCGAAGTTACCCTGGGTGCAGGTTTAGGTAGTCCCGACTCCCCGTGCCCGTGCCATCCGGCACCTGCTGAGGGTGTGGTTTTAGGTAGTCCCGACTCCCTAGCTCCTCAGTGCCAACCGGTACCTGCCCTACCCTTGAACACATCCAGTGCGACTCCAAATGTCAAGCCGGGGCTTGAATTGCTCTTTGGCATACCGTGGTCGCCCTCGGAGTTCGTTGAGCAGGCTTGCAAAGCGAAGCACCCACGTTCCTTGGACCAAGGCGTGCCAGCCGGCATGTCGGCATGTATTGATCGTTTGTGTGAGCACAGCTCGGTCAGTGTGGCCAGGGATCGTACGGCCGAACTTCGCAAATGGGTGCTTAGGAAGAAAGAGCTTGACGAAAGCTTTGATGGACCCGAGCACTGCAAGAAGGTATTAGCTGGCAAACCCATGAAACTCTTCGGGGAGATGGTTGAGGCTGCTGGACATGCTGATGTGAACCTGGTACGAGATATACAGCACGGTTTTGACTTGCTTGGTGAGATCCCCTCCTCGTCCGTCTTGCCGAAGAAGACCACCGTGGCATCTCTCAGTATTGAGGACGTAAGAATTGCCACCCCGGCAAATCAGCGGGCGATTTGGGAGACTACCCGCACTTGCAGGGACCCTGAAATCACTTCGGAAGTGTATCGCCTTACCTTGGAGGAGCGGGATAAAGGGTGGCTGACAGGCCCCTTCACTCTCGCCGATGTGCCGGAGACTGCCATCATTACACGCCGTTTTGGCGTCAGGCAAGGCGTGACGACAACGGCCACAGGTGTGGCAGCTAAGATCCGGCCTATCGACGACTTCACAGAAAGCTTGGCTAACTTGTCGTGCACATGTGCGGAAACCATCGACCCGCATTCAGTGAACGTCATTGTGGCCGGGATCCTGAAACGGTGCAAGTTGCTACGGAAGTCCGGGAAGGATGCGCGCTTGCTCCTCCGTACAATAGATCTGCGTAAAGCCTATAAACAACTTCCTTTGTCGGAGCAGGCCTTGGGGGATGCTTATATATGTGTGCTTAACCCGGATACGGGTGAACCTGAGCTTTACCAAAGCCAGGTGCTACCCTTTGGTGCTAAACCATCAGTACAAGGATTCTGTCGTGCTTCGGGGGCAATATGGAGTGTGGGGCAGGCCCTGCTCCACATCCACTGGAGCGTGTTCTTCGACGATTTCGTGGCAGTGTCTTCTCCGGAGGAAAAGGGTCACCTTGATCTTGTGTTGCGGTCGTACTTTGCCTTGATCGGCTGGGAAACGTCCGACGAAAAGGACACTGGGTTTAGAAGTGTGGCAAAAGCCTTAGGGGTAGAATTTTGCTTGGACGAGATCCACCTAGGTCTGCTCAGGGTACAGAACACAGAGGCTAGGAAGCGCGAGCTTGTGTCCACCATCGAAGCCATCGTGCAGCATGGCGGAGCACATGCCAAAGAACTTGAATGCTTGCGAGGTCGTCTTCAGTTCGCCGAGTCGCAGGTGTTTGGTCGGGGTGCGGCCCAGCGCATGCGAGCTATATCAAAAGCAATGAAGCTTTCGGGTTTCGTGGTTCTTGACGACTCCTTGACCGAGGCCCTGCTTTTCTTGAAGGATCGAGTTTTGCACGGGGAAGCAAGGATGATCAGGGCCTGCGATCGCCCCACCTACCACCTGTTCACGGACGCTTCCTATGAGGCTGATGTGCCAGCAGGTCTCGGGGGCATCCTTTATAGTGATGGGGGTTTGCTTCTTAGGTGGTACTCGGAGTCTGCCGACACAGACGTTCTGGAGGCCATAAACAAAGAGGGCAAACAAGGTCTGATCTACGAGTTGGAGGCATGTGCCGCAGTGCAGGGTGTGGTGCAGCTTTGCAATTCCTTGAGTGACTGCAATCTCATTTGTTATTGCGACAATGAAGCCGCCCTCGCAGCTCTCATAAAGTGTGCTTCCGAATCACCGGTGGTGGCATCGCAGCTCAACAAGCTCAGCATGCTTGAGGATGAGAAAGGATTGAGTGTATGGTTCGAGAGAGTGGAGTCGTCTGCAAACCCAGCCGACGATCCTTCACGCTTTGTGCTTGGCAAGCTTCCCACTAGCTTCAGAGTCCGTTGGATACCAGGCGAAGAGCTGTTGTTCTAGCGGCATCTGATCTTGAATGGGGAGTGGCATCATCTGCCTTTCACTTGCGGGAAGCTTTTACTTGCAGGAACTTGCCGGAAAATCTCAATGCAGGACGATATCAGCCGTGCCTTCTTTTTCTGAACATCGGCCACGAATGTGGAACCGAAATCATTACCAGTCTGCACCCCTCGCTCTTAAAAAGAAATCGTGCAGTGCGAGTGCTTCTGTCCGTGAGTGCAGTTGTGTCTACAGTCATGTGCATGTCTTCATGTTCTGTAGTGCGCTTGGATTGAAAACATAACCAAATAAGAACAAACTCTCCCGAAGGGGGATGTTTTCTTATTTGATTGTTTTCATGTCGGAAAAAATTGTTTACAATTTTTCGGCGCACTTTTTCTGTCATGCCTTGCTGGAGTATTTCGCATGACTTGCTGTTTTCTCACGAGTGCTTTACCACGCTTGTCTTGGTAATCGCAGTTTTGCTTGCAGGCGTGAGAAAATTTTTGTCCCACCCACCCACCCTCGGGGAGTGGCATCATCTGCCTTTCACTTGCGGGAAGCTTTTACTTGCAGGAACTTGCCGGAAAATCTCAATGCAGGACGATATCAGCCGTGCCTTCTTTTTCTGAACATCGGCCACGAATGTGGAACCGAAATCATTACCAGTCTGCACCCCTCGCTCTTAAAAAGAAATCGTGCAGTGCGAGTGCTTCTGTCCGTGAGTGCAGTTGTGTCTACAGTCATGTGCATGTCTTCATGTTCTGTAGTGCGCTTGGATTGAAAACATAACCAAATAAGAAATTTCTTCCAGATGATCCCAGGCGTGCGGATGCCGTATCCCGCACGAGACAGGACGAAGCCATGTGGCATGGCTACCAGGCTTTCATCCGCGAGGGCACCGAGTGAAGGACGGCAGGCCATCGGCCTGCTCGGGGTTTTTTAATGTAGGGCTCAGTGGTTCGCCACCGTGACCCAGAGTTCTGGCTGTTTTCTCTCGCGAGCAAAAAGCCAGCTTCCTGCTCGGTCCGTCGCTCGCGTTGTTCTTACCCCGCGTGCTTGCATGCCACTTGGGCTCAGACTTGCGGCGACATAAGTCGCTAGCACCTTCACTTTGTGTCTCGCGGCCGCTCAACTTCCGCCCGCTCCTGCGATGGCGGCCCCTGCCTTGCCTTTGGTGTGGAAGCGCCTGGACCAGCACATTAACGTCCGCTATGGCGACCTCTGTCACTTCGACCTGTCGGCGGACCCGGAGTTTCAGCTCACCCCGAGTGACATTGACATGGTCCTCATGGCGGCAGTGGGCATGCGGGCCAATCTGGTTGTGATCGAACTGCACCATAACTGGCAGGAGGCGGGACACGAGACCGTGAGGGTGTGGTTTAAGCAAGTTGCCAGCGGGGTGGAGCAAATTGCACATCATCGCGACTGGGACGCCAGTGGCCGACAGGGCTACCAAACTTTCTACTTGGGGTGACATGTCTTTCATGACGGTCTGTGGTTCTGGTCTGGACAAGCCGGGCTCAGTGCCCAGACCTCCCCCCTTGTTTTTTTAAAAGTCATGTGAACACACTGTGAATCATGGCTCCACAGGTCACCCGCATTGAGTGAGGACTGCGGGGTTCAAAAGGGCATGATTTGGGGGGGGTTCGCAAGCGCTTGTCCTGGCAGCAACTGTGAACAGCCGCTTTGGCATGCGTCGTGGCTCAGGCGGCGACATACGTCGCCGGCCAGATGACGGGATGAAATGATCTCCGGTGGTAGTCGGCTGCGCCATGGCGGTCAAATTGTTCCACACGCACCCCGTGGTCAGTGGCGTGGGCATAGAAATCCATCGGCCCATCTCTCTGGCTTTGGCTTCCATTCAGCATGCGATCTCGGGGCTGGAGCACTTACACCTTCAAATGTACGAGGGATACTTGTTGGTGCAGGTGCTTCCAGGCTTCGTGGACGCACCCGACTTCACTGAACTCCCGACCTCTTGGCGCTTCATGCAGCAAGGTGACCCACTGCAAACGGACGACTCTCCTTTTTCCATTGCGGGTTACCTCGTGACGATTGCGGAGGCCTTCGACTTCATGGCACTTTGCGGCAGTTTGCCGGTGATTGTTTGTTCGCACGAGCCCATGGTAGGGCGCAGCTTGGTGGGCCTCCTGGTCAGCCGACTGAGTGTTCGGTCAGGAGGGACGCGACGTGCCCCGATCGAGGAGAGCATGGTTTCCAGGAGCTGCCGATCAGCGTGGACCTGCTCCCCTTCGCCCAAATCCCAGCAGTCCCTCGCGAGTACGAACCAGCCGTGCCGGTCAACCTGGGCTTGCTTGCCCGATACGCGGTGTGGCTCTGTACGGACCCCGCTGTCGTGCATTGTCACACCTTGTGGCTCTTCACGGACACTGACTCCCTGGAGGAGTATGACCACACCCGCCACACTCTGCCTCACATTCTTAACCGATGTTGCTGGACTGGTCGGCATGATGAACGGCACGCCTGTGTCTTCTTCCCGCTACGGCAAGAAACGGGCTTGCATAGGGCGGTGGTTTGGTGGGGCAAGGTCTACGCGCTATGGGTGCTCAAAGCCTTGCTCCCGGGCAAACATATCATCTTATCGGACCACGATGCGGCCCCGACTGCGCTGTTCGAGGTTGCTGACTTGCAGGATCTGTGCCTTGACACGCAGGATCTACAGGCCTCCTCCGGCGCTGGAATGCCTGCCCCGGACGATACGGTATGGTCATTTGCGCCCACTGTGCCTGCCCAAGGCAGCCCTTGCTCTCGGCGCTCACGTGAATCCGTAGGTGTTATTTTTGTCACAGAGCCTTCCACGGATGCCCAGGGAGGGTTCTCTGTCTTTGCTAAGGAGCCAGGCCGACTTCATACGGAAGTTGGCATTTTGCCACTGCACATGCGTGGTCCAGGGTCCTGGCAGGCCTATGTGGACGCTTGTGATTGCGAAGGAGGCGGGAGCACAATTGGGGACTCGCAACTCTGCCGCCGGTATGGGCTGTCCCCGACGGTGCTGGCGGAGTGGGCCGCGGAGGTTGTCCCACTCCTTCTGTCGAAGCTTGCACACCTGGTGACGCTGCCGCGTCCCAGGCCCCGGGAGCGTCGGACGGCAGAGCTCTTAGCGGGTACTCCACTCTTTGGTGCGCAGGCACGACACAGCGGAGATGTTGTCACTGCTTGGGCGTACCTGGGGGCGGTCTTGCAGCTGCCTTACTGGTACCCGAACGCCCAGGGTTGCTTCAGCGCGAGCATGAAGACCCCCAATCCCGATGACTCACTACGGGAAGTCTTAAAGCCGCACGAGGAGGCTTTGGGATGGGCCAGAGGGGCCCATGAACAGTGTGCTAATTCCACTCTCTTCGCCTTGAGCTCGAGCCACTGCAGGGTGTGCAGCCTGCCGGGGCCCTACCTCTTCATGGCCAAGCCCGGCATTTGTGCACGGCTATGGAGCCAACGGCAGGGCCCCGCTGGCGCAGCTGGAGCGTCTCCGCTCTTTGGATACCTCACGGAGACACCCTGAAAGTTGGCGAGGTGCTCCGCCCTGGTGGGCCGTATCGGGTCTTGGCCTGATGGGGCCCCGGGCTTCAGCGTGGTAGCCCCTGAGCACTTTCCTGGGCCGGGCGCGACGAGTCCCCCTTTCCGGCGCACAACGCGGCCTCGCTTCTCGCCTCGCATCCGCACATGGGCGCGCTGGAGAATTTGGGCCCTCCTACCAGCAACGGAGTTGGAACGGGTGGCGGCCGTGTCCGCCCCATCTCCTGCAGGGGAGCAAATGATGACTCTAGACGTCTCAGACCACGAGCTAGCATCCTATTTTTGACCGTGCGGTCAAGGGCTTCGACATGGCGCATGCAGATGAGGACAAACGTCAGGGGGGGGCTGCCCCTCGACATCTCCTGAGGTGCGCATCGAGTGCTCTGGCGCCAGTACATTTTGCGCCCCGGCTCGCAACGACGCTTGGCAGCTCATGTGTTCCACACAGTGCTACGGCCCCACGGGGTGCCTTGCGGAGACATGCTCCAAGCTGTCGGCACGGCGCGGCTTAAACTTAGTGCAACGGGTCGCTATACCAGCCTCTTGCTTTCCCCTCTGCCGGTCATCCAGTTAGCGCATGCTATGTTGGGTGTGAAGTTCACTGCGACCAGTCCGGAAGCCCGAACCATTGACGCGCAGCTCCAGAGAGCACGCCGCAGCTCTCACTTGCAGGATCCACATTCCGCGTGTCTGGCGGCTCTGTGCATTGCCTTCTCAAGCATCGGCTCCGCGCGGCCTACCGCAGCTACACGGCAGGCCTGGTGGGAGTGCTTCTTCGCAAATTATGGGGCGACAACCATTTCCCACCCGTGGGTTTGCCCGCCGCCTCCGGTGGAGTGGCGGCTGATGTTGCGCCGCCAGCAGCCGTGGAGATTGGGGCCGTTGGCATGCCAGATTGGCTCTTCGCGGAACTCCTGCGCCTCCCGTGTCGGTTGCGCTTCATCCATGCCAGCGAAGACTTTTTGTGCCCTTGGGTGCCCACTGAGTTTGCGCGGGCCGCCATACGGGTCGCCCCAGGTGTACGTGCAGGAGGTATGCATTGGTTGTTCAATGTGCCGGAAGAGCTTTTCGGGCGTCAGTGCCACAACTACTCCCACTTGCTCCTGCGCACTAGCCCCGCCCTGCCGGCCCAGGTGGATGTTACTGCCGCGCGTGCTTTCCTGCGTAGCCTGGAGAAAGAACTGGAGTGGGCCTCCCACTCTCTTCACTTCTACCGTAGTCGGGGTCTTGTAGATAGTGAGGTTGGCAAAAGGTTATATGGCTGCCCTCTTCCCGCACCGCGTCACTGAGGAGTCTCTCAAGCGGCTTGGCGCCGTGGACTCATTGCCGCAGCGTCTCCTCGAGGCTGTCCGCACCGTCACAGCAGCCTCCCTGCCACACTGTGTTGCGGAGCTGCGTTCCTGGATCATTCAGGAAGTCAGGCTTAGATGCTATGAAGAGGAGAAGTCGGTCAACCTGCCCTTGCCTGCTCCAGTGCAGACTTCTCTCGGTGAGCTGTCGCTCGAGCGTGTTGTGGATTTTCTGCACTTTCATGTCTACAGCCAGGGCGCTGCGCTTGAGGATACTGGGCAGGAGAACCGGCGGATGTCGCACCAGGACACCACCCGACGCTTCACCCAGGCGCTGCCCGGTTGTGCTGAAGGTGGAAGACTGTCTCAGCTTTGGCACATACGTGCTTGGCTTGTCATGTCCCAATGGCTTTACGCCATCGCAAAACACTGGCTGGTTCTCGCATCGCCAAAGCGGTAACCGGCCTCCCTCCGAGGGCTGTCTTCTGCGGTTAGAGTTTCGTCAAGGGCAGCTCCTGGCAGTCTTTGTGGAACTGGTAGTTCCTGACAAGGTCCGTGGAAAAACCCGCGAACAACGCAAGGCCGAGCGACGCCAAAACCGCCTTAACCCCACGGCTGCCCTCCTGCTCATCCGCCAGTGGCCCTCTTTTCTTGGGGCCCCCCCGCACCCTGATCACGTTTGCAGCTGGGATCTTTCCCTTCGCAGTCTGTCGTGCATTAAAGTAGGGGGGGCTCTAGATGTATTTCTGCAAGTACTGAAGATGCCTGCGGCGCGTGTCCCCCTGGCCATTGGCATGCCCATCCGGCCATGCACCCAGCCTGCGCCGAGGCCTCGGTGCCATTTCGCTTCCGAGGGGCACCTTGTGCTGTCGTTCCTACAAGCCGTGGAGGCGGCCGCCCGCGCTCCTCACTTTCCAGCTGGCCCAAACTTGAAGCCGGCCGAGTTTGTAGCACTCAAGAAGCGCATCCTTGCCTTTCATCCAGTGGCTGAACGCAGCAATCCTCGGGATCCTTTCAGCAAGAACTGGCGTTTGCCTGCGACATTGATCCCAGCTGAGTTGCACACCTTGGCTGCCCTGGACAGCCCCCCATCGGTTAATAACCGACGTGACCTAAACACAAACCGATGTAGGCCATCCCGGGCTCCCAGCGGTGAATCGAACATCCCAGCGGTTATTTGATATCCCAGCGGTTAATTCAACATCCCAGCGGTTATTTCAACATCCCAGCGGTTATTTGATGATCCCAGCGGTTAATTGTCCCAGCGGTTAATTCCAGCGGTTAATCGTCCCAGCGGTTAGTCCCAGCGGTTAATCCCAGCGGTTAATTGTCCCAGCGGTTAATCCCAGCGGTTAATTGTCCCAGCGGTTAATCCCAGCGGTTAATTCCAGCGGTTAATCGTCCCAGCGGTTAGTCCCAGCGGTTAATCCCAGCGGTTAATTGTCCCAGCGGTTAATCCCCGCGGTTAATTGTCCCAGCGGTTAATCCCAGCGGTTAATTCACATCCTAGCGGTTATATATCCAAAGGTTCGGGATCCCAGCGGTTAGTGAAGGTGCCAACGGCCGTACGAACATGGTGTTAATGCATTTGTGTGGCGTGGCGAGGTGCCAACGGCCGTACGAACATGGTGTTAATGAATTTGTGTGGCGTGGCGAGGTGCCAACGGCCGTACGAACATGGTGTTAATGAATTTGTGTGGCGTGGCGAGGTGCCAACGGCCGTACGAACATGGTGTTAATGAATTTGTGTGGCGTGGCGAGGTGCCAAAGGCCGTTCTCTGCCTCCGGACGGGTGGCGCAAAGAAGCCAAACCTTCACTTACTACTACTACTACTACTACTACTACTACTACTGCTACTACTACTACTACTACTACTACTACTACTACTACTACTACAGCTTCTGCAAACACTGCTTGGGCTTTCGGTGCTTCAGCTTCTGCAAACACTGCTTGGGCTTTCGGGGCTTCAGCTTCTGCAAACACTGCTTGGGCTTTCGGGGCTTCAGCTTCTGCAAACAATAGTTTATCAGTTTTGCAAGTAGATCTTTGCAGTCCTGGCATCCAGGACGGTAAATATAGCGGTTATGCAGTCCTGGCATCCAGAACGGTACGTATAGTGGTTATGGTCCGGTTATGGTTGTTACACTGCGTAGGTTTTCGTAGTACTAGTACTAGTAGAAAGCATATTATGCAGGAGTCTTTGTTGACTAGCTGTCACAATCAAACATATACACGTACGGCGTGGCGAGGCGCCAACAGCCATTACAACTCACGGTGGGCGGCACTTCAAGCAATCAGTCGCAACCAACCAACCGACCGACCAACACTCCAGCACATGCATCAAGCCAGGGACACAACCACCATCCAACACATGCATCAAGCCAGGCACACAACCACCATCCAACACATGCATCAAGCCAGGCACACAACCGACCAACAGGTGCAAGCCTTCAGAGCCAAGCACACAACCGACCAACAGGTGCAAGCCTTCAAGCAATCAGTCCCAAGCACAACCAGCGTTCCTCGAGATTCTACAACTGCCACTGCGACTGCAAACACAGCTTGGCTTTCGGTGCTTCAGTTTCTGCAAACACTGCTTGGCTTTCGGGGCTTCAGCTTCTGCAAACACTGCTTGGCTTTCGGGGCTTCAGCCTCTGCAAACACGGTTTGGCTTTCGGTGCTTTTGACAGCATTATGCAGGATTCTTTGTTATGGGTTTGAACAGTTCAGGCGTGGAACCCGGTTTTTGTTTGCAGGCTTTTGATTTGGAGTTTGTGCAAGCTTTGGCCAGGGTTTAGGATCAAAGCGGATGTTGCGAGGGGGAGCACCTCCACCCGATGGCCAAGGGGGAGCAACTCCACCCGAGGCCATGCATGCACTAGATTGGGAACAAGAGAGGTTTCGGGAATATCGGTATTAAGGGGTGTATATGTGAATGCATCCTCCCTTTTTTTGGGGAGGCCTTGGCCCTTGCGGTTTCAAACTTGGAACCTAAACTTGCAAGCTTCGGGACTATGGAATGTTGTTTGGTTGCATTGTGGCAAGTTCTTCCTTAAGCCGAAATCTAAACCCTCAACCCCCAAACCTGATGCCCCAACTTTGGAAACCCTAAACCCTAAAACCCTTAAGAGACCTGCGGCGTCCTCTTTTTTTTCGGCGACGCGGCGCTTCTTCTTCGCCGTCGCCCCGGGCAAGCGTCGCCAGAGAAACACTTGTTTCGTCAGGTAACGTCTTGCCCAGGTGCGAGGCTGAGAAGTCACGTGGCAGCCGGCCGAAACAATCTTGAGGAACTTCATATGATCCTCGTCCAAAAAATTCGCAGCATGGTAAAAGCTGAGCTTGTGGCAGGGCAGCTCATCCACCAAATGCTGCGTGTAATGCATCTTCGGCCGAAGTTTGTACAAGCAGAGGCCTTTTCGATGGAATCGTGCAGCAGCGTGAGCATAACTCAGAAGGAACGTATCGAAACACCATTGTGCTTCGATAATCTCCTCTGGCTTGAGAAAGGGTTTACTGCCAGTTCCCCCAACACTCAATGCTGCATCCAAGCACCATACCATCGTTGCCCTGCACCTCGACCAATGCACCGTGTCTGAGGGTGCGTCACCAGACACCAGTATTTCCAGTTGACAGCAGTAATAAGCGGTAAACGCCAGCAAGTTTCTGGTCCGACTTGCTTTTATACGGCTTGTGAGATCAGGGTAGATAGCCTTCTTGTTGGCATGTAAAGTTTCCCACGTCAGCGGCTTCATCGAGCAATCCAGGCCACGATCCTTGCAGAAACTTTGGGCTTCCGCAGTCCACCTGTGAAGAAGCTGATCTGGGCTGCCATCGAATTGCAAGAAAGCTGCCATCTCGCCCGATCTCACGGTCTCAACCAGAATGGAAGCCACAAGGTCCCGGATGTAACCCAGATGGGCGAGGTGCATAACTTGGTTGAGCAGTGCATCTTACAGTATTCGAGCACTACATAACCAAAAGCCATAAAAAAGCCATCCAGGAATGCTGTTAATGCGACCTAGAGGCTGTCAAACAGGCGGCGGCGCTTGGTGAAGCCCTTGACTGAGCACCAAACAGATCGTTCTTCTTGGTGTGGCAGCGGCTCATGGTAGCCGCATGTAGAGCGCCACAGAGCTGACGAAGAAAAGTCTGTGAAAGTCAGCTGTTTGTCCCGGCTCGATGCCCAACACCAATCGCATATCGAAGGCTTGTTATAGTGCCTCTGAAGATTGTGTGATTTTGCATGAGCTTCCATATCTCCAGCCCAAGATGAGAAGCATGCTCGGATCTCAATGTTTTGGCCAATCTTTTGGGCTCGCGCTGAGCCAGCTGGCCACGGAACGTCGCTGTGGTCGCAGGATGGAAAAACGCCACGTTCCAGTGCTCGAAGATCCCAAGCGATGATGTCAGCGATGCAGCGTCTCGTTTCGGGCGCGACACGACTGTTCGTGACACCAACAATGCCTTTAATTGTTGTTGTCCATCATATACATATATATATATATATGTATATGGTCAGCTAGCTCTGTTGTCCAACTAAAAGAATATTGCTAATCGAAAATTTCCGAGGGACAGAAGCGAGAGATCTCGCTTCCGCGGCTAGCCAAAGGCGTGGTCCAAGACCAGAAGTTGCATGTTTCGCTCTTAGTTGTTGGTACACCATCCTCATGAAAGCGTAATGGAAGCATGTCCTGGTAGTTGGGATTGTTCCGGGAGATCTCCCGTATGTAAACCTGGTCCCGTTCTTGCTTCCACCATTCATCTACTGACCTGAGATATCAAAGCAGGAAATGTGCGTCCATGAGCAATACATGCACCAACAATGAACCAAGCAATCAGGCGCGGGCCGAGGTGCGAATGTCCAATAAGACAGGTTTCCACCAGTGATCTTTTGCAAAGCTCGCAGAGAACATCACTGGGAAGACAGAAAGCTGTTTTCTCAAATATCAGTTGTTTGTCCTTGCGTTCTTTGGTGTTGCTCCACACAGGCAAATCCACCAGCAGGGGCTGGATGGGTAACTTCACCCAGCGGAAGAAATCCCTCTCCCGTTCGCTGCTTGCCATTTGTGAAAGGGCAAGTCCAGATGCCCCATCTCGCCGGAAGGCAGATGCTATTCTGCTTGTTTCGGCCACAGGTATCGCCTCAGAATGTGTGTTCTGGCTGCAAGGTCCAAGAGTGTTGCACACGGACTATATAGCTGACGTGCTTGGATACATCCAAGTCAAGAGTCTCCAGCACCCATGCGCTGGGCCAGTAAAGCTGCACCAGCGGAGTCAAAGTCATCTGCGGTCCTTGCTCCAGTGGCGTGTTTATGCTTATTGCATATATTGCGGTCCCAGCAGCATCCCACGACGACGTGTCGTAAAGGCAGGCCGACCAGACTCTGTCAAGGGCACGTACCTGGCAACAATGTTTTTCATTCCTTCCACCCCATCACGTGAAACCCCGTCAGGGCATCTGCAGCAAGCAATTTTTGGCACCAGAGCGACGATCGATTCCCCAAGGATTGTGAAAGTCGAGAGCATCTTGTGCAAAGCAGCACGGAAATTCTTTCACACTGGCTTGGGTCCTCGAGCCCTTGGGCGAGGACCCTACACCAACTGTACGTTATCAGTGTCGGACACTGGAAGAAAATGAGATGTGCAAAATCCAGATGGATCTGTTACCAGTAACCTTGGAGTATTCTAATATATTCTAATATACGTGAACAGCACGACATGCCCATCTGAGCACCGACCCCGGGTGCCAAGATTCTTTCTAGGCTCCCTCCGCGGCTTTGCGCTTCTTGGACTTGGCTTTAGCCGATCCTTTGGGCGCGGTTGGATCCTTCGGAGTCGCCTTCGCAGCTCGGATCAAGCTGTTTGCTACCTTGCTGGGCCTCTCATAACGCTTCGCGATATCGAGATATCTGGTAGCAATGGGAAGATAGACCCCATCATCGTGGACCAGCTCAGAGATGAGCTTGTCCACCTGGTCGTAGATCGCCCTTGGCCGTATAGTACTGGGTTGGGGCCACATGAGCGTCTGTCAAGACTTCTTGTTCATATGGCTAGACCAGGGTAGCCTGCCCTGTGGGGCAGAGGCTCATAAAACAATCTAGTAGGTATCAATGCAGCCAAGGCACTGGAACTCCTGCTCGAAGTTGGTCATCTCCTTGAGGCATTCAGTCGCATAGCTGACTCCTTTCAACTGCTTCCGCATCGAGCCAGCGTGGTTGGCCTTCGAGAGGGCCCGCCCCCTTAAGTCTGCCGCCTTGTCCAGCGGTGTAAGTTTCTCCACTCGTGGTGCTTCCGGCTCAGTTTCACCGTCTTCGTCTTTCTCTTTGCCGCTGGCTTCATTTTTCCTGGCTTTCTTTGGTTTTTTGTTCGGAAGTGGCTTTGGGTCCTCCTCCATGTCCACATTGTCCTCATCATCCTGGCCGGGCCCTGTCAGCGCCCGCCGGGGCACACTGAGAATTTGTGCAACGTTGGCAGCGTCACCCGCACGAACTTCTCCGGAAGCAGTGAAACTGCTTCCTCGGATTCCGTTCGCATGAATGCACGAATGCTACATAAATGTTGAAGTCGAACATAACTGGATGCACGATGTATGAATGCAAGCAAGAAACGTTCTTCTGTGCCCCTCGTCCATTCCCTCTGCCACTCGTTGTGCAAGTAAAGCTTGAGCCCTTTACAATTGGGATCATCAACCTCCAAACCAGCCTTCCTTTTTTCCTCCATCACCTTCGCAGCATTGACTGCTCCGTACTTGCCGATCAATTCCTGTTCCGTCAAAGGTTTCATCTTTCCCTTTTCCTTGTCCGCCGCCACAGAAATGGACGATGCAGTCCACTGCCCGACCAGCTCATTTTCGTCTCCTCCTGCAGCGACGATCAAGTCGATGGCTTTGCTCTTTGAATCTTCGTCCCGCACCAACTTTGCCAAGTCATCAGGCAAGGCTTGCATCCTCTTTGGGTTGCCTTTCAGGCGATTCAAGAACATGGCGGCGTTCTTTCGGTTGTAGAGTGGCGCAGAACCTTGGACCAAGCCGTCGCTTGCACTGCCAGGCGTTGTTTTTGCACTGCCAGGCGTTGTGATTGCACTGCCAGGCGTTGCAGGAGATGGCGTACCAGGTGCCTCCACCATGCGTGGGGTTGCAGGACTTGACCAACCCATCTTCGCACTGACATCATCAAAGGTCGGGGCATTAGGGGCCGGAGGAACGGCACCCCTGGTGGTAGGGGCCGGAGGATCGGCACCCCTGGTGGTAGCGGCCGGAGGATCGGCACCCCTGGTGGTAGGGGCCGGAGGATCGGCACCCGTTGTGGTAGGGGCCGGAGGATCGGCATCACTGGTAGGGGCCGGAGCTGGCGTTGCTGCCTTCGGCTTGATCAGTTTTGCAAGCTCATCCTTGCAGAACTGCTTGCAACCCTCATCCCCAGTAGCCATAATGTCCTGCAAGAGCTGTAGCTTTTGCAACTTTGTCGCGTTCATCGGCAAAGCCTGGTATTTTTTTGCCGCCTGTGTTGCCATGTCGACCTGACAGTGGCGGATTTAGGCTTTGGGGTTTAGGGCTGTATAAAATTTAGGGAGTTAAGGCTTCGGGTTTAATGTTGAGGTTCTAGGTTATGGGGTTTATACTTATGGTTTAGGGGTTAAGGTTTCTTAGTTTCTTACAAGTCGCACGGCCTCCACCTTGGCTTTATCAGCGTCTTCCTTTTCCTTGGCCTTGTCCTTGGCCGATATCATATGTTCGGCCTCCTCCTTGTCCTTGGCCAATCTTGCCAGCCTGAACTGTTCCCTTTCCTTGGCCAACCTGGCATTCTCAGCTTCCTCCCTTTCCTTGGCCATCCTGGCTTTCTCAGCTTCCTCCCTTTCCTTGGCCAGCTTGGCTTCCTCCATTTCCTTGGCCATCCTGGCTTTCTCAGCTTCCTCCCTTTCCTTGGCCAGCTTGGCTTCCTCCATTTCCTTCGGCTGATGGCATCCTGGCTTTCTCAGCTTCCTCCCTTTCCTTGGCCAGCTTGGCTTCCTCCATTTCCTTGGCCATCCTGACTTTCTCAGCTTCCTCCCTTTCCTTGGCCAGCTTGGCTTCCTCCATTTCCTTGGCCATCCTGGCTTTCTCAGCTTCCTCCCTTTCCTTGGCCAGTTTGGCTTCCTCCATTTCCTTGGCCATCCTGGCTTTCTCAGTTTCCTCCCTTTCCTTGGCCAGCTTGGCTTGCTCCATTTCCTTGGCCATTCTGATGGCTTTCTCGGCTTCCTCCCTTTCCTTGGCCAACCTGGCTTTCTCAGCTTCCTCCATTTGCTTGATCATTTTGCTTACTTTCTCAGCTTCTTCCTTTTCCTTGGCCAACCTTGCTTTCTCAGTTTCCTCCCTTTCCTTCGCCATTCTGCTGGCTTTCTCAGCTTCCTCATGTTCCTTGGCCAACATGGTTTCATCCTCCAGTTCCTTGGCGACCCTGGCAAAATCATTTTCAAGCTCTCGCTTTGGAGATTTTGTGATCGCATCATCCTCGCGTTCCTCGAGCCCGACCTCACGCATGAGATGCTCCAACGTGGCATCAAAGCCATCCTTTGTACCTGTGATCGAAACAAACCAGAACATGTGCACACTGAAGCTGCAACAAAACGCGAGTCATGGATGTCCTTCTGTCTGCAAGTCAGCAGGTGGCAGATCGTACTGGGTCGGCTGGGCGTCCTGGAAACAGATATGGCACGTATCGGAAACAGGATGGGTTTGGCGGGATTGAAGTCCTGGGAGGAGATGTCCATCTCGCAGCCGTAGAGCTGAGACTCGAGTTCTTTCATCAGGTCCTGCTCCTCTTGCGCGTCGATCGTGGCCTCCGTCTGCTGAGTGTCCTAGATAGGCGGCAACATGTTTTTTTGCTTTTCTTCCAGTTCCCTGACCCCGAATGGTCCTGCAGGAAGGTGTCCGAAAAGCCCTGCCCAGCCACTCCGCCAGCAGCAGCCCCCGCCCTCATAGTGGTGTTCAGAAGCCGCCCGAACTTCGCCGGGTCGTTCTCGGCTTCTCCCGAAAGAGCGTCAAGCTGCTCCAGCTTCACTCGCATGGGGTCGTTCGCCATGCCCTGGAATTCCAGGGCCGCCTACGGGAGCCCCTTCCCAAACACCTTGAATATAAAAGATGCTGCCATGCTGACATTGACCAACACGCAGCAACAGAAAGCGGAATGCAAAGATCCAAGCGAGCAGCAACCTAAAGCAATACATTTGAGCAACTTGGGGCAGCCAACCAAGGCAGGAAATTCAATTTTAATCCGCCGCGGCTGCACAGAGCGATCTATCGTCCATAGCGACGAACAATCTCTTCCAGATCTCCTTTGCAGAAGATGTCTCCCGATTCCGTGACATAGGTGTAGATCTTCGGAACCTCGGCGGCGGCTGAGCTCGAGACCGCCGGCTGTTGAAGAGCATCATCCTTTTCGGTCTTCTCGGGTGGCCGCGTCTTCTTGGGTTTCTCGGTCTTCGCGTCATTTTTCGGCAGCAAGAAGCCTTTCTTCATGGTGTTGGAGGCAAGGGATCCAAAAGCTCGAGCACCACCGGCTGCAGCATTGCGAACACCGCCTGGCTTTCGGTGATTCAGCTTCTGCAATCGGTGCTTCAGCTTCTGGCCGTACGAAAAGGGTGTTAATGAATTTGTGTGGCGTGGCGAGGTGCCAACGGCCGTTCTCTGCCTCCGGAGGGGTGGCGCAAAGCAGCCAAACCTTCACCTACTACTACAGCTGCAAACACTGCTTGGCTTTCGGTGCTTCAGCTTCTGCAAACACTGCTTGGGTTTTCGGGGCTTCAGCTTCTGCAAACACTGCTTGGGTTTTCGGGGCTTCAGCTTCTGCAAACACTGCTTGGGCTTTCGGGGCTTCAGCTTCTGCAAACACTGCTTGGGCTTTCGGGGCTTCAGCTTCTGCATACACAGCACATAAATAGTTTATCAGTTTTGCAAGTAGATCTTTGCAGTCCTGGCATCCAGGACGGTAAATATAGCGGTTATGCTGTCCTGGCATCCAGGACGGTACGTATAGTGGTTATGGTACGGTTATGGTTGTTACACTGCGTAGGTTTTCGTAGTACTAGTACTAGTAGAAGAGCAGGGCCGGAGGAACGGCACCCCTGGTGCTAGGGGCCGGAGGATCGGCAAACCTGTACTAGTAGTAGTAGTAGTAGTAGTAGTAGTAGTAGTAGTAGTAGTAGTAGTAGTAGTAGTAGTAGTAGTAGTAGTAGTAGTAGTAGAACTAGTAGTAGTAGTGGAAGTAGTAGTAGAAGTAGTAGTAGTAGTAGTAGTAGTAGTAGTAGTAGTAGTAGTAGTAGTAGTAGTAGTAGTAGTAGTAGTAGTAGTAGTAGTAGTAGTAGTAGTAGTAGTAGTAGTAGTAGTAGTAGTAGTAGTAGTAGGAGGTAGTAGTAGTAGTAGTAGTAGTAGTAGTAGTAGTAGTAGTAGTAGTAGTAGTAGTAGTAGTAGTAGTAGTAGTAGTAGTAGTAGTAGTAGTAGTAGTAGTAGTAGTAGTAGTAGTAGTAGTAGTAGTAGTAGTAGTAGTAAAGTAGTAGTAAAGTAGTAGTAGTAGTAGTAGTAGTAGTAGTAGTAGTAGTAGTAGTAGTAGTAGTAGTAGTAGTAGTAGTAGTAGTAGTAGTAGTAGTATAAGTAGTAGTAGTAGTAGTAGTAGTAGTAGTAGTAGTAGTAGTAGTAGTAGTAGTAGTAGTAGTAGTAGTAGTAGTAGTAGTAGTAGTAGTAGTAGTAGTAGTAGTAGTAGTAGTAGTATAGTAGTATAGTAAGTAGTAGTAGTAGTAGTAGTAGTAGTAGTAGTAGTAGTAGTAGTAGTAGTAGTAGTAGTAGTAGTAGTAGTAGTAGTAGTAGTAGTAGTATAGTAGTAATACTAGTAATGTTATACTAGTCACAGCGGTTATTCAAGTCACGAGTAAGTCACGGGTAGTCACGGTAGCGATATATAAGTAGTAGTAGTAGTAGTAGTAGTAGTAGTAGTAGTAGTAGTAGTAGTAGTAGTAGTAGTAGTAGTAGTAGTAGTAGTAGTAGTAGTAGTAGTATTATGGAGGCCGTCAGTGCGAGCGCTGATAGTCCCTTAATATCTTGAGCGTGAATTTTCTTGAAAAATCGGGCCTGGATTTTTAAAGAAAATGGCTGCCAAAAGTTTTCTGTTGTGTGAGCGCCAAGTGTTGCTATAGTGCATCTTCTTGTCACCCGCGCTCGTCATCTCAAGGCATCTCGAAGCCGTTTGTGCATAAACGTCAGTGACGCTATGCTTGGACTTCACTGAACAAGCCACAAGTCTTGCACATGTAAGGTTGCAGAAATTTTTCTTTCTGCCGGGTCGTCCCATGGACTTCGGCGACGCTCTCGCCGCCGGCTCTTCAGGCCGTTCCGAGGACAGCTCTACCAGCACCCGCGAGCTCCATAGCCAGCACATTTACGATCTCCAGTTGGAGGTCAACGCCCTCCGTGCTGAAATCCAAACTCTCAGGTCAGCCTTGCAAACTTTGGAGGAGTCCCTTGCTCGTGCCTGGGTGAACCAGACTGGCCACCACCAACGCCTCTCGTGGCTCGAAGGGATCATTCAGAGCTTGAGGGCTGCCTGTCGGGTATTTCTTGAGCCTGGCGTGCAGTCTGCCTCAGATTAAGCCATGAATACCTTTAGTGCCGGCATCTTGCAGCAACTTGCTGGTGTCACCCGCGAGCAGCTCGACGGTGCCTTGCCTCCGGCGCAGGCCACTTTTGGGCCCCCTGCGCTTCCGTTTGCACCCGTGCCCGATCTTGGGGATGCCTTTCCTGCCAATCCATCTGATGCATCTGCTTCTGCGGATAACTGGGGGTTTGTAGGATTTACTGGTGACTTCGAAGGGTTTACCGATGACTTCACAGCGCCTGTCTCTGAAATCGAAGTCCAGCAGCAAACTCACGAGTTTCCACCTTCCCCCCCCGTAGGGTTTAACCCTAGTCACTTCGAGGCCCACTTAGCATCCCTCTGCGAGCCAGATGAGCAGGCCCCTTCCCTTTCCCTTTTAGGGTCGGGAGATGACAACACTGCTTGGTATGAAGATGTTAGGGCCATGAGTGAGTCGCATTTTTCATTGGTGCCAAGTGCCAGCAAAAGAGACTTTGGAGAAGAGGTCCGTCCTGGTAGGATTGCTCGTGCTGTGGGCGATGAGCGCTCACGTACTGCCGTGGCATCTCCTGCCCTGCCTTGGGAGAGAGGAGTCTTCAGAGCCATCTTTGGGGATGAGGGCTTAACTAATCCCTTTGATAACCTGGTGCTTAAGATGCCTGGCCCCTTAGTCCCAGCACATGTGCCGTCGGCGGAGCCAAAGATCCATGAGCCTCCCATACCTTCAGCTGACATCGCGAGCAGGGCATTCAAATCCTTCAAGGATGTACATCCGAGCGACGAGCGCGATATGGTCATGGACCGAGCGGTGTGCAAACTGCAGCACATCATTTGCCGCACCGATGTTGACCGTTTGTCACCTGAACTTGCACAAGCAGCATCTTCCAAAGATGCAACAGACGAAGTGTTTGGCATCGTGTCAGCTTGTGTAGGTCTTCGGAGTCCTCACACGGTTGTGAAGCGCGCCAACGCGATCCTTGCATACTTGAGATGGTGTGACAAGGAAGGTTACGAGAAGCCATTTTGTGAGGATTCTGTGTGGAGCTTCATTTCTTACTTGAAAGAAAGAGAAGGCAGCTCCGACCCGTGCAACCTCCCTCATTTCAGCTTTGCGTTTTGCGAACTTCGTTCTGGGGCTGAGTGTGTCCGAGGTTCTTGCAAGCCGTAGAATTCTGGGCCTCAGTGCCCAGCTGGGTGTCAAAAAGAAAGCGACCAACCGAGCCCGGCCTCTCAAGGTGTCAGAGGTGCGGTTCATGCATGGCGTGCTAGAGGACGAGAGTGCACCAATCTGGGACCGAGCCATCTGTGCCTACCTTCTTCTTGCACTCTACGCAAGAGCCAGACACAGCGATTTGGTTCTTGTAGAAGAAGTGATAGCAGACTTTGATCGCCAGTGCAGCGGATACCTGGAAATCCGCCTCAGATTCCATAAGACGGCACAGACTATTGCAAAGAAAAATGATTTGTTGCCGGTTATAGTTTCAAGCAAGGGCATCGTGAAAGGCGATTGGCTGGGGTTGGCTACTGATGTATTTGAGCGTGTGGGCCTCACCTTGGATGGGACTGTCGGCGCGGGCCTCTTCAGGCCCTTTAGGCCCGGTGGTGCTGCCCCAGGTCGACGAAGCCTAAGGTCGTCGGAGTGCACAACCATGTTGAAAATGGTCCTTGAGCGGGCTGGGTCAGATGTGTCAATGGTCACATCTCACTCGTTGAAGAGAACCCTGCTTGATTGGGGCTCCAAGTTTTGTCTTGATGACGGGATTTTGGCTTTGCTTGGGCGTCACAGTAAGTGTGTCAAAGGAAGCGTGCCCGTCTATGCCAAGGAGGAAGCCTTGAAAGCTGTTAGGGCTCTTGAGCCTATGGGCCAAGCAGTGGCCGCAGGATCGTTCCACCCAGATGCTGCCCGAGCCTTGTACTTTACAGATCCCCCAGCACCAACTGTGGTGCCACAAGCGCCCGAGTTCAAGGCAGCTGTCAAGGCGAAGGTTGAAACCATCAATGATTCAGCGTCCGAGCGGGCTGAGTCCGAGGGGCAGCATTCTTCAAGTAGCAGCGAAAGCAGCGATTCCGAGTCACAAGACGACTCCGACTCGTCGTCCGAGTCAATTGCGCCTCTTAAAGCGCCCCGCCTGGAAATCGAGCAGTGGGATGCCGCCGACTGTGTGGCCAATTCCAGGACCAGGACCCTTCACCTCTTGAAATTTGTGTCTGGAGGTGGAAATCTCATCAGGCTAGATGCCGACTTTCCGCCTTTTTGGCGAAGGGCGAAGTGCCAGGACCTAGAAGGTCTTTGATTGCGATTCGAGTCCAGTTAAAGAGTGATCGCCTGCAGTGGGACATGTTGTTAATGTTGTTGCCAGGGACAGTGAAGCGCGGCAGTGTGCTGAATTAGACTCTGTTAGACTTGCAGTTATGTGAGTGCAGTGCGAATATTTGAGTTACTGCAGTATTGGCCGAGGATAAAACATGTTTTGACCATGTCATGAAGTTCATGTTGTGTTCTTCTCGCTTTATCTCCCGACCGTGTGATGCTTTACATTACTTTCAGCTGCTGTTCAGGTACCTCGGAGTTTTGACGTGCACAGTGGACTGTCCGAAGCTCCTTTTGCTCGCCATGTCCTCGTTAATCGATAGCGGTGCACACTTTAAAAGGCGTGCGGATGAGGTCGGCCTCAGCAGTGCCGGGTGGACGATCCTTCAGGCCCTTGGCATTACCTCTGTAGGCAAGGCGGCGTACACCATCACGTCGCTAGGTGAGCCGGTCACGGAACCCATATTCCGAGATTGGGTTGTCGACAATGCTGCAGGTATGACTCTGGGTGATCAATCATGCTTGAAAAGGCTCGTGTTCGAGTCCCAGACTCTGGTCGTTGCTGAGTTGCGCGACCAAGTATCCGGGTCTCAATCATCTGCCCCTCGTCGTGTTCCCGAGGCTGAGCGCGACCGAAGACTGAACGATCTTAGGGCGGCCCTCCCAGGCATCACGCTGGAGGGCGTGAATATGCCAAGCAATGCCCTGCTGGATTCATGTTGTCAGCAAGAGCGAGACAACTTACTTAAGTACATCCCGCCTGAGAAGGCCACGAGCCGCACCCATGAACTCACGAATCCCAGACCGACCCATCAGGCGCTGCAGGTCGAAGCATCCAAGATAGTTCTCAAGAGTGACGCTGATGCCGTTGAGTATCAACCGGTCAATGCGCTCCAGACCATGGAGGCCCTTCGGCGACGAGGTTTGGCCATGGTGTTTGCACAGATGATTACATATGATGCCTACGATCGGTATGTGAATCGTCTCTTTAACCACCTGTCCCGTGACCCGCCGCCAGGGCTCAATCGCGTGAATGTGACACAATTGGTTAACGCTGACAAGCAGGTGTTTGCACTGCTGGCCGAATGGGGTGTCAAACCAAGGAGGGATACCGCAGGTGAGTATCCCCTTGACAGAGAGATGCACCGCGCTTTGGAATCCTATGAGGTGTCCATTGCCCTCATGCACCAGGCTCCCCAAGGCAAGTTCCCGTTCAAGAATAACCGCAAGCGTCATCCCTCTCGGCCTTCAACCCCCGATCCTCCTACGAAGCTCCCCAAAGGCAAAGGCCGAGGCAAAGGTGCCAAAGGTGGTCCTGCGATGCCCAAGGAGCTTGTTGACCTGAAGGCAAATGCCACCACACCTGAGGGTAAGAGCATCTGTTATGCGTTCAACTTGAAGGAGTGCAAGCGCACTGACTGCCCCCACCAGCATGTCTGTGCCAGGTGTTTCCAGCCGCACTCGATCCGCAAGTGTGCTGCCGCCGGCGCTTGAGCGCCTTCGATCTCCTCTGAAGCAGTTTTGCATCGTGATTCACACTTGTCTGAGCCTGCCTCGTCTCTTGTCGCAACTGGAGACCTGGCTGATGCATGCAATCCCATATCCCCTCCTTGTGAACAGCACGCCCAAACCTTGCTTTCCCGCGGTGCCTTGTGTGCTGAGGATGTGTTGGGCTTGGTCTCTTTTCTGCAACCCGAATCACTTCGCTTCCCTGGTGAGTTTAGTTGGGCTACTGGAGCCTATGTGCATGGCGGCATAGTCGGCCTACGACACAACCTCAATCATTTTCCACTTTCGTCTAAAGTCTTGGCGAGCTTTGTTTCGAATACATTCCCACAATTGGAGTTTACCTCCATCGTGGTTTTAGTCAACACCCTCACCCCCGCGCACCAAGACCTCAACAATCATTTGGTTTTCCCAATGCTCTGATTCCGCTTAGTAAGTTTGAGGCCGGCGGCCTTTGGATCGAGGGAGCTGGTGAGGAGGTTTGTCCTGACCCAGGGCATCCCGATGCCAAGGGACATGTTCTGCAACTGCATGAGCCGATCCAGTTCGATGCGCACCGGCTGCGTGCGACGTGCCCGTGGACAGGTAATCGCACTGTGCTAGCCGCTTTCGTAATCAATGATTTCCACAAGTTGGATGCTCAGCACCGCCAGCTTCTGCAGCACACTGCCTTTCGCTTGCCAAGCCTGTCTACTGGCGAGCTCCTGCCTTTGCGCCCAAGCATCGCTTCGCGATTCCCAGTGGTCCTTGAAATTTTTGCGGGTACAGCTCGTGTGACCGCAGCCTTGCGTCGCTGTGGCTTTGTCGGGGCCCAAGGTGTTGATCACGTGGTCGTGGATCATGCTGCCTGTCCTGTGCTGTTGGCCGATCTGACTACGCAAGAGGGCCAGCGTTTGACAATGATGTGGCTTTCCAGCCCTCATGTTGTGGGTGTCTTCATCGCTCCACCGTGTGGCACCAGCTCTCGCGCCCGGGAGATTGCACTCCCTGGGCATTCTCCCGCCCCGCTGCGATCACTAACTTTTCCTGACGGGCTGCCCCATCTGTCTGGTCTCAACCTGGTGCGCGTCAACAAAGCTAATCAGCTGTACCACTTTACGACTACCATCTGTGCTGAGGCCCATCGCCGCAACCTCATCATTGCCGTGGAAAATCCGCGGAGTAGTCTCTACTGGTCCACCAGCTTCTGGGCTGCTGCGGCCTCCTTTTGTCCTATGCATACTGATTTTCAACACTGTGCCTTTGGCGGTCGCCGGCTCAAGTGGACTCGCCTTTGCCACAACCACCAAGCCTTCCATGCTTTGCATCGCGTCTGTCCCGGTGGTGCCTGTGCTGCCCAACATTTGCCGTGGGGTCGTTCTGAAGACGGCTCCTTTGCCACCGCCAGTGAAAGCGCTTACCCGCCGCAGCTAGCCACCGCCATCGCTCAATGCTTCGCTCGAGCAGTTACTTTTCTACCCGAAGCCGAGCCCTCCCTTGCAGCCATGAGGGCCACTTCCGGCCTTCAGCCCAAGGCTTCTGCTGTGCCGCCTCTTGTCCCCGAGCACAAAGCTGTGCTTGTAATGGCCGGGCCGAGTGATGCCACTTCCTTGCCGACCCTTCGCGCCCGACTGCCCGAGCCGTGGTCTGACTCGCGCTTCGCGCCTGCTGGGCCCGTGCCAGCCCACAGTCAATTACTCCGAGCGGATAAGAAGGGAAGTGATCGACTTGAATTGGCTTGGGGCATATCTTGGTCTCCAGAAGAGTTCATACATAAAGCGGTTCAAGCGGGACATCCCAAAAAGTTTGACTCGCTACTGCCTTCCGCACTGAGCCACAGCATAGATGTAAATGCAAAAACAACGCCGGCCGATAGAGCCGGCCTCAGAGCCGAATGGTTTGCAAAGTGGACCAAACGTGCAGCAGAACTTTCGGGGGACGAAAAGAAGCTCAAGAGCTCCCTCCCCGAGTACGCCAGGAAGATCGTCCTACCAAAAAGGATTTTATTGTGGCGTGAGATTCTAGAGGATCTCAAATATCCTGACATTGGAGTGCTAGACGAAATGCTTGAAGGAGTGCACTTGACAGGTCAGACCCCTTGCACCGGGGTCTTTCCTGGGGCCTTTAAGCCAGCAAAAAGGACTTCGGAACAGCTGCGCTCCAAAGCTAGCGAGTCCCGCCAGAAGATCATCGATGCGATCAAATCGCAGGGTCACCTGGATGAAGCGCTAGAACAAAAGGTCGACGAAGAAGTGGAGCTCGGCTGGTTGTCCGAGCCGATAGACCCGACCGATTTGCCGGAAGACGCCACAATCAGCAGGAGGTTTGCGATCGAGCAGTCAGGTAAGATTCGCTTGATAGACGACCTGAGTGATAGTGGTGTTAATGGGTCTGTCCAAACCACCGAGAGCCCCAAACCTCAATCCCTCGATGTGGTGGCCGCCATGGCCTTGGCCTGTCTCAGACAGCTGCCTGGGACTGCCATGCTAGGGAAAACGTTCGACTTAAAGAGCGCCTACAGACAAATGTTTGTGTCTCCAGACGACCTCAAGGAAGCTTACATTGCATACTTCAGCCACCGCGAACGCAAAGTGATCGTAAGGCAAATGCTTGCGCTCCCATTCGGGGCGACCAGAGCGGTGTTCTCCTATTTGAGAGTGGCGCACTCTATGTGGTACATTGGGTGCTGGGCACTGAAGTTGATTTGGTCGCATTTCTTCGACGACTTTTTAAGTCTGGCGACTCAGATCGAGGCCAAAGCAGTCGACCTGGCAATATCATCATTGTTCAGGTTGCTAGGGTGGAAAGTCTCGGAGGACAAAGACAAGCCCTTTGCTGAGAGTTTTGCTGCGCTTGGGGTGCGGGTTAGTTTCGAACGATTTTTGCAAGGGGAAGTCCTGTTCCATAATACGGACAAGCGCATCTTGGAGGTTTCGGCCACGCTGCGCCATGCAGCTGATGATCCAGCTCTCACCCAGAAGGACCTGTCGCGCATTCGGGGTCGCATGGTCTTCGCAGGGGGCCAGCTCTTCGGAAGAGCCGGCCGGCTATGCGTGGCCGCCCTAGCTGGTGAAGGTTGCTCGACCAAGGCAAACCTTAGCAACGACGCAAAGCAAGCTATGCTTCAGTTTGCCGACCTGCTTGAAGCCAACTGGCCGCGCGTACTGAGAGATGTGTCGGCAGATCCAGTGTATATCTTCACTGATGCCTCGTATTCCGAGGTGAGTGGAGGTACTTTCTGCGGCATAGGCGGAGTCTGCTTTGACCACAAAGGCCATCCCCTTGGATTTTTCTCCGAAGAATTGTCCGGTTTCCAGAAGCGTCTACTAGGAGAGGGAAGGTCCAAGACCATCATCTTCGAGGCGGAACTTGCAACAATCGTGATCGCTTATGTCCTATGGAAAGATTGGCTTAGGGGAAAACCTGCTGTGATTTTTGTGGATAATAACTCCGCTAGAGACGTGTCAATCAGTGGCACATCACGGAATGATGTAGGCAAATCGCTTGCATCACTTCTTTTAACAGTGGAATCCTTAGCCAAAACTTGTTCGTGGTTCGCTCGTGTTCCGTCACCAGCGAACATCGCAGACACGCCTTCGCGTGAAGTGCTGAAAAGCTTCACCGTGTCAGGTTGCCCCGTCCCTCACTTCCCGTGCGAGGACATCGTGTCCGAAGTCTTGGGCATCTTAGTCAAGTAATACAACGGATAAGAAGGGGAGAATTCTTGATTTCGGTTTACATATCCTTTTGCAGGCGATGTTTGTTCCGCCAGGCGATGACGTTCCGCCATCCGTAGCTGCAGGTTTGAGGCTAAATGCCTCATTGCACCAAGGTACCCCTTGTCACCGCTGGTGAAAAGCGACAGAAGCTTTCAGGAGTGCTGTGTGTGTCGTGTCTCTCTTGAGTGTGAAGCGTCGCAAGCCAAGCTACTAAGCCTTCAAGTGTGATCCCTAAATCGGCAGCCGTTTATGCTCAAGATATTAAGGAGGCCGTCAGTGCGAGCGCTGATAGTCCCTTAATATCTTGAGCGTGAATTTTCTTGAAAAATCGGGCCTGGATTTTTAAAGAAAATGGCTGCCAAAAGTTTTCTGTTGTGTGAGCGCCAAGTGTTGCTATAGTGCATCTTCTTGTCACCCGCGCTCGTCATCTCAAGGCATCTCGAAGCCGTTTGTGCATAAACGTCAGTGACGCTATGCTTGGACTTCACTGAACAAGCCACAAGTCTTGCACATGTAAGGTTGCAGAAATTTTTCTTTCCCCGCCCACCCACACCAATTGCATCTCAGACCTTGCGGCGAGTGACGCCCCCTGCAGCCGAGTGCCGCATGCGTGAATCTAATCCCTCTGCACACCCCAGCCGATCCGGTCAGCGCGACCGCGCGTGCTTCGCTCATAATGCGTTCTCGGGGAGAATTCTTGATTTCGGTTTACATATCCTTTTGCAGGCGATGTTTGTTCCGCCAGGCGATCGGCGATGACGTTCCGCCATCCGTAGCTGCAGGTTTGAGGCTAAATGCCTCATTGCACCAAGGTACCCCTTGTCACCGCTGGTGAAAAGCGACAGAAGCTTTCAGGAGTGCTGTGTGTGTCGTGTCTCTCTTGAGTGTGAAGCGTCGCAAGCCAAGCTACTAAGCCTTCAAGTGTGATCCCTAAATCGGCAGCCGTTTATGCTCAAGATATTAAGGAGGCCGTCAGTGCGAGCGCTGATAGTCCCTTAATATCTTGAGCGTGAATTTTCTTGAAAAATCGGGCCTGGATTTTTAAAGAAAATGGCTGCCAAAAGTTTTCTGTTGTGTGAGCGCCAAGTGTTGCTATAGTGCATCTTCTTGTCACCCGCGCTCGTCATCTCAAGGCATCTCGAAGCCGTTTGTGCATAAACGTCAGTGACGCTATGCTTGGACTTCACTGAACAAGCCACAAGTCTTGCACATGTAAGGTTGCAGAAATTTTTCTTTCCCCGCCCACCCACACCAATTGCATCTCAGACCTTGCGGCGAGTGACGCCCCCTGCAGCCGAGTGCCGCATGCGTGAATCTAATCCCTCTGCACACCCCAGCCGATCCGGTCAGCGCGACCGCGCGTGCTTCGCTCATAATGCGTTCTCGGGGAGAATTCTTGATTTCGGTTTACATATCCTTTTGCAGGCGATGTTTGTTCCGCCAGGCGATGACGTTCCGCCATCCGTAGCTGCAGGTTTGAGGCTAAATGCCTCATTGCACCAAGGTACCCCTTGTCACCGCTGGTGAAAAACGACAGAAGCTTTCAGGAGTGCTGTGTGTGTCGTGTCTCTCTTGAGTGTGAAGCGTCGCAAGCCAAGCTACTAAGCCTTCAAGCGTGATCCCTAAATCGGCAGCCGTTTATGCTCAAGATATTAAAGTAGTAGTAGTAGTAGTAGTAGTAGTAGTAGTAGTAGTAGTAGTAGTAGTAGTAGTAGTAGTAGTAGTAGTAGTAGTAGTAGTAGTAGTAGTAGTAGTAGTAGTAGTAGTAGTAGTAGTAGTAGTAGTAGTAGTAGTAGTAGTAGTAGTAGTAGTAGTAGTAGTAGTAGCCGCCACAAGTGCTCAAGCGGCCGCGCTGAATGAGAGGTTTTGAACAGGCTTGGGGCGCAACTGCTGTGCTAGAGGTTCCAACCGGGCCCTTTTCTGAACAGTAAAGGTTTGTGCCTCCTTCTACGCCATGGTCCTCTCCCTTTTCTCACAGGAGCTGCTTTGAGCCGCCAGGTCCCAATTCCTGGGCCCAGACTCTGTTTAAAACATTGCAACACTGGGTAGGCGGTAGGGTTTCCACCTCCGCGCGGTGGAGGGAGTCATTAGGCTTCTGTCTCTTGACGAAAGTAGCGGATGGCGCAATTGCCAGTGCACTCACAAAACTTTGCATCTCTTCGTAAGAATTCGTTCAAGACAGCATGTAGAAGGACAGTCCGTAGTGACGGGCCCGTACCATACCGAGGGCAGGTTCTGACACCTACCCTGGTTGATCGTCTGGGGGTGCGCCCCCCACCCACTCGAAGAGAGCTTCAGTCACAGACTGCTGACTCCCCTGCATATGGCACAGCCTCCCGCAGGGCAGGAAGGTTGGAAAGATCCATTCGAGTTATTTCGTGGAACGCGGGCCACCTAGGCCAACAGCAATGGGGCGAACTCAAAACGTGGCTAGCAGCTGAAGCCTCTCATCACTGCGACGTCCTCATATTGCAGGAAACGCACTGGACTGAGACCAGTGAATTCAGCGTTTCTGGGTGGTACTGTATCTCCTCAGCCTCGGAGTCTACCAAACCCAACACCCGGCCTAAACAAGCAGCGAAGCGAAACACTCGGCAAGAACCGCGAGCTCCATCCACGACTCGCGCTGATGGAGTCATGATCCTATTCTCTCCCAAGTTCGTCCCCAAGAGCTTACGCTGGAAGGAGTGGAGCCCGGGTAGAGTCTTAGAAGCTCGTGCGGACATTGCAGGTACTCGGCTGGTTGTTGTCGCGGTGTACCAACACGCTTGGTCTTCTGCCAAGACCATCCAGTCCAATAAGGATGACCGTGCTAAGGTACTATCTGTCATGTCCAAGGTGATCAAGCAGGTGCCTAAGAGGGACTCCCTTATTGTAGCGGGTGATTTTAACACTTCCTTGCGTCCGAGCTCTCCATTGGTGGGAACGCACGTGAAGCCACCCACTGAGGACCGCCCTGACGAATCCAACTTGTTTAACCTGCTGCTCAGGTTGCGTTTGGTTGCCCTTAACACCTGGCAATGTGACCATATAGCTACCTTCTCACAAGGAGGAGTGGAGTCGCAAATTGACTTCATTCTAACCAAAGAATCTACGGCGGGAGGCAAAGCAAAAAGGTCAGCCCCTTGGGTGGACTGCCCGTTGGGCAGCTGGAAGAAAGGAGGGCATTACCCGCTTAAAGCTGACGTACCCCTCCAACACCACTGGCTGCTCCCATCCCACAAGCCCAGCACGCGCCGGTACGATTCACTAGCTCTACAGGCCTCGGTCAGAGAGGAGGACGATACGGCAAAGGCACTGCACAGCTGGATAGCTTCCCGAATTGACACCTGCCAGGACCCCAAGGCATGGAATGCGTTGCTTTTGGAAGGTGCAGAACGCTTTTTTCCAAAAATTCCCAAACGAAGACCGATCCCGCTGGAGTTGGAAACCCGTCGCATGTGGCGGGCCCGCACCCACGACAGGGTTGCGAACACAGCTCCCTCAGCACAGCTGATCGAGTCACCTAAAGCAATGGCACAGCCTCCTAATCAGAACACGCCACGTCCGCCGGACACCGAAGCTGAGCTGCGCAAGTGGCACATCGCCAGGCTGTGAAACAAGCAAAGAAAGATCGGATTGCCAGCTTCATATCGGAGGTGGACGCGAGTCTGGCTGAAGGTGACCAACATATCTCCTTTCAGACCCTCAAAAAGCTGCAGCCTTGGCAGCCTGCGCGCAGAGCTCAGCTAAAGGACAACACAGGACATTTGCTAGGTCCAGCGCAGGAGCTAGCAGCCCTCAGGGACTATGCCAATCAGGTATTTGCGGCCCACCCTCCGTTACGGACAATGCATGGAGCTTTCCCTGTTTTGGGGCCGCCCAAACTAGCAGCTCACATACATTCCATCAAGCCTAATAAAGCTGTTCCTGACGGAGCGGCACCTGCGGCTGTATGGAGAATGTGTAGCGACATCGTCGCACCGGTCCTCTCCAAACACGTAGCATCCAAGCAGGCCGAGGACAGTCTAGAATCCGACCTCGTAGACGCTGATCTCTGCTTAATTCCCAAGCCGGGCAAACCCTCTGACAAACCAGCAAACTTGAGACCCTTGGGTATCCTTAGACCTGACGCTAAGGGACTGGCGGGAGCGGCCAGAGAAGCGCTTCAACCACTGACCCTCTCGTTCCTCAAGCACATGCCACAGTTCGCTTATCTACCAGGTCGGGGGCTGTCAGACGCGCTAGAACGCGTGGTGCATCACTTGCGTGAGGCTCGATCCCTGTTAGAACAGGCCCACCCCACGAGACATGCCTTGCAACAAGGCACACAGGCCCCAGCCTTAGTTGGCGGCCTCACCTTTGCTCTTGACCTTAGCCAAGCGTTTGACACAGTCTCTCGCCAAGAGATCATCGACCTTCTTCAGAGAGAAGGGGCAGATCAGGACACAGTCCACCTCGTTCAGGCTCTACATGACGGGTCTCGTTATGTCCTTCACGCGCAGGGAGATTCTACCTCTGTTGAAACCACAGCAGGCATTAAACAAGGATGCAAGCTCGCCCCCACACTCTTCTCGTTCCTTACAGGTGACCTTTTCCGCTCTCTGGTTGACCTATTCGGTGCTGAGCAGGTCTTGAAATTCCTGACAGGATATGCCGATGATCTCACGCTCCATCGAACTATCCGCTCTGACAAGGACCTCAGGGCCATACACGCGCTCATCGCAGCGTTACTTGAGGAGGTCCGCAAACACCGCCTACGAGTCAACATTAGCAAGTGCGTCATCTTGGTGAAGTTAGCGGGTAGAGAATCCCAAAACGTGATGAACAAACACGGCTGCTGGATCATAAACTCCAAGGGCGAGCAGGTTCGAGGATGGCGCATCGGGCCCAATAAATCGTTCCCCGCCTTCCAGTGGGTCTCCTGTAGCAAGTACCTGGGGGTTATGATCTCCTACAACAACTTCGAGCTGCAGTCCTTGCACTACCGCATAGGGGAG